GGGGGGGGGCATCACAGGACCTGGCCTTGGGGCGGCAGGGAGAGTAAATCCGGCCCTGTCTGCAATAGATTCGTTTGCTGAAAAATCTTGTGTATCTTTTTCTGCCATCTCTGTTCAAATGAGGAGATTTCCTGTAGACACTGCAGGAAGTGAGAGGAAATCTAAGGCAAACCCCTTCTTAGTTGTCACCAGAACAAGTGTCCCCAATGGAAGATTCCTCGCTTTCAGTTCTATTGACAACCGGTGAGCTTTCAGTGGATGTTTCTGCTCTGCAGTAATAAGCAGACAGGAGGGGGGATGTAGTTAGGTGAGCATAGAGGAGGGAGACGGCTCAAGGTGGACACCATCATCATCATTGTGGTGATGATCTCTTGTTGCCCAAAAACCAGGCAGTAAGCCGAGCAGTAGTACAATATCAGCAGAGCTGCAGTCTCTGAAAAGCCTAATTTCCCTTTGTCTGCGGTCATGTAGCTCTTCAGGGAGGAAAAAAGTATTTTCATTTTATTAGTTCTTTGGCAAACTGTCATCCAGTTTTGTTACGAAAGCCTATAGGACTAAACCCTGGCTGTCTCTGTGATCATGGAAGGCATTCTTGGTGGACAGAAATAGGCTAATTGGTCCAACCCAGAACTCAAGGAAGCCAGGCTCCTAGTAATAAAGTAAAACTAGTTTCTGAATTGAGAAAACTGGTTGGATGACCAGTGAAACGTCTTCAAGAAGAATACAGGAAGTCCAGTTGCCTTGACTTATTTGTTACAGATATACCATGACCTGGATGAATGAGAACCTTCACAGACATATAGTTTCAGAGAAGAGCAGAGGTGGCTTTTGTGGCTGATAAAGGGAATAGGTACACTTGCTGTTGGGTAGCAAATGACTCTTCCCCATGTGACAGTGTTCATGGCTGAGTGGTGAATCATCAGACCCAAACACTGTCATGTAGAGGGGCTGCTAGGTCACAAAAACGTAAGTTGGCCATGCACTATGCAAATGTTTTTCGATTCTTGATGATCTAGCCAACATTTCCCACTCCCACAGTGGGTGCTGCTGTTGGCACCTTTTCGGCCGGCATCCCTCGATCGGCATCCTTCGATCAGCTGATCAAAGGCACCGGTTGGAAAATGATCAAACACGCAGAGCGGGCAGCCAATGAGGTACGGGCTCTGTTGGGGTATTCTGACAGCTGGCTGCTGTCAGAATACAATGAAGACAGCGGGAGATTCCTCAGTGAACACTCGTAATCGATAATGGAGGAATCTGTTTATATTTTCTTTGTTCGGCATGCAGGTTGAAAAAAGAAAACATTGCAGTGTATGGGCCAGCTTTACCCAGGGTGGACTCCTGTGGTGAGGGAGCTTAGATGAAGGAAGGCTGTCAGGAGGCACTGTCACTTGAATGGACATATGAAAGTGTCTCTTTAAATTGCACAGACTGCAATAAAATGTATTAATAGGAATGAATCCCCCCCTCTATTGGATACGTAATTGCACGCACAGGGGACTTATGTAGCTGACCTTGTCCCTTGACCAGTAACTGTTAAACCAAGATTGAATAGTTGACCATTGAAGGGCTATTACCCAACAACATTATGCTCAGAATGTGGTCCAGAGACGTGACTTCTTTTGTTCTTGGACTCTCTGTCTAGTGATCACTTTTTATTTTTCTACCTGCAACCTGTAATTCTATCGGGAATGTTCCATCTCACACCGCTTCTAAGATCTGCTTCCCCTCTTCTGCTTTGCATAGTCTGCCGTTACTCAAACGACTGTGTTGTCTGTGTGCCGGATGTTTGCACGCTCTTGCTTCACCTCCACACTGGCTGTTGTCTTTACTTTTGGTGCCGCGTTTCGGGTTGCTTGTCTTTCCCTTGCTCCTCTTCAGTCCTCTCTTTAATTCTCCCCACTCGTTGTGCCTGTAAAGTGTCTGACTGGCTCTACTGCGCAACCACTGGTGACTGCTCACAGACTTGGCGCAGGTGGGGTTTAATCTGTC